GTTTTACTATTATGATAAGTGATAGAAACGAAGTTTATTTGCATGTTATACGGCCACATTTCATGCTTTATAAAAAAAAAAAAATCAGTTTTGGACTTCAGGTCAATATCGCTACAGTCTTGTATTAAAGAAACAACAAGAGTTCAAGTTGGTCTAAAATATGACCATTAATACCTTGTTGTGAAATAGAGGATACATAATCAACTAGTTTCTGATTGAGCACATTAATACCCAACAAAAGATTATTGATCCCATAACTAAGGATTTGTCGCTAATGTTATATAGTAAGCATGCAAATTTCTCTTTGACAACATTAATTTAATTAGTTAGTGGGAGGTTGTATTGGCTCAGGTAAAGACAATTTTATTTTATGATCATATTTATTATCCTCATTTACTAGATATTTTCCATATTGGTGCACGTGTATGGAAAATTGTGATTTAAGTGTCCTGTTTTGAGACACGGTGTATCCTTATTGAGATACAGTAGGACCGATGCATTACATAAATATTGTGTTAAATATATGCATATGCGGTATATATGTGACTTTGGAGTTGAGTTTGTTAGTATAAGTGACAATTGGTGTCTTGTATCATTGATGATATAATGACGTCCTTAATCCCATATTAGTAGACTCGAAGGTACTCCAAATTGAATGGTAGAGGTGTTTTTCTATAAATATACACGGATTAACTTTTGTAGCATACTTAATGATCATTTTGATCTTGACGTGATCAGAATTAATTATCGTTAGACTAAGTGGAGAATGTAAGCAAAAAATTAATAGTCTAACAATAATTAATTAATATTTAGTTATCCATATATTTGAATGAATAGTCACCTATATATTTAAGAGTTATGTTGTTTTGTTGAAGAGTCACATATGAAGAGTTGTGTTGGTTGATGGAACCAACACACCTCTTAACATCTACTGGAACGGTCCTAACCCTTATCTATATATATGCATAGAAGTCTGGAGTCCATCATCCTATATGCAATGAAAGATAAGAGGGTTGAAGGTCATCTCCTATATGATATAAGTAAGGTTTCCGCTGTAATCTTTTCAAACTGATTTTCATATCGGGTATGTCTTCTTTATCAAATTTATGCATTGGAACCATGTTTCTATTTATGTTATAATTTTCTTACAGAGGTCGCAGAGGATGAGAAAGAGGAGAATAGTTAAGATGAAGGTGGGAGATCGTCTGTGAGCCATGTTTGGAGCTTTGTTGATGTGTGTTAAAGATGGATATATATATATATATATATATATATATATATATATATATATATATATATTTAGAGTTAATCTTCTCTGGCCATCATCAACCCATCATCACCTCCAATTGAAAACCAAAGCTGCTTTGTTGCTTTTTCCCAGCCCACACCAACCCATCATCACCTCCAATTACCCAAATAAAGCTTTTTTGCCCAAATATTCAAACCCAATAATTATGCACAACTCAAGGCAGCGTCGGATTCCCGTAGCCATGGCTACCGGGAAAGGAAAAACATCAACTGGTTAAAATCTAAGAAATGAGAAGAAACCATTTTTAGAAAATGGTACCTATTTGCATATCTTGTAATAAATATGATTAAATTTAAAAAGTAACATATCATTTCATTTTTCAAGAAGGCAAAATCAAGAACTAAAATAATTCCTAATTTAAGTAATTTTTTTTTATTTATTTATTATTTTTTTTTTAGGGGGTAAGTCCAAATGAAAATTTTCAAAAACACTCATTTTTAAAATCATAGATTTTATACAGAAGACCATAACAGAGGATATCTGTGTGAATAGGTGTGCGTTTGTGCTATGTGTTAAAAGAGAGAGAGAGAGTTACAATAAGTGAGAGTTACTTCTTCTTCTTCTTCTTCTGTTTCTTTTTCTTTTTTTTTTTTTTTGGTGCTAAAGCAAACTTGTGATTGATGGGCTCTATATGTGTTTTATTGCAACCTGTTTCAGATAATAAACTACAAGGGCAGATATTGTAAAATATTGAATGCTTAATGTGTGTATATATATATATATATATATATGATCGGTGTGATATTGCAATTTCTAAACCATTGTTTCTTTTTACAATAAATTCTTCTGTTGTTTGAGAAAATTTTGTTGTAAAGCCCTAGTCTTTGCATCAGGTTGTACCCAACAATCTTCAAATTAACATAAGCAAGTTGTATATCAAGATTGATACAGATCTCAAGTTGCTGCTTGCAAACATTGTTCCTCCAAGCCACCAAAAACTCTTTTTAGAAGCCACCACAAACTCTTCCACCCTTTCTTCTTTGGGCAGGTGGCCACTAGAGAAGATATATATGTATGTATGTATATATGTATGTATATATATATATATATATATATATATTGTATAATATAACAATAGAGAGAGAGAGAGCCAAATTGGGTTTAGAGGGGGTTATATGCATAAATAGGTGAGTAGCAAATGGGAAACAAAAGGGTAAAATGGGGTTTTCAGTTTTACTTTTGTAAAAAGGTGGTCAGAGGTACTAGTTCTACACCTTTTTTGAATTTTGTGGACTTGCATGCACATTTTCAAAAAATAGGGACTAGTTTTGCACAAAGTCTATATATCAGGGTTTTTTTTTGCACTTAACCCTTAAATCAATAATAAACATATTACTACATGTCATTTTACTTTCTCATTCAGTTCCAAGAAATCAGAACCATGATTTTACTTTTAATCACTACTTTGTCTTATTCCCTATATCTTTGCCGTCCGTTCGTATCATCCTTAGGTGACACCACCACCATCATGGTCGAGACGAATGTCCCTTTCACCGACCACATTCTGATCTCCCCCAAAAGAGCTCGTGACTTTCTTTAGGGGTGCACAAAAGAACCGGAACTGTGGAACCATAACCGGAACCGTGAGAACTGGAACCTTTTTTTTCCAGTTCTCACGGTTTCGGTTTCGGTTCTTAATTTCGGAACCATTAGTGTACGGTTCCGGTTCTGGTTCCAGCCCGTGGGAACCGGTAAGAACCGGAACCGTATATATATATATATATATATATTTAATTAGTTATTCTAAACTAATGGCCAACAAGCAGCCATGTGCGTAAAACTAATCCACAAAACAAAACACAAATCCCAAATTCCCAATCCCAATCCTCAATTCACGTGGGAAATCTGAAAACTCATCTAGCTCCATCTTTATTCTCTTGACTTTGAACTTGCCCTCTCTATTTTCGTTCTTAGATTTGAACTTGCCCTTCTCTCTCTCTCTCTCTCTTTTTGTGCAACTGCAAGCAATAGTCACAATCAATGCAAAAAATGATATGCAGAGGCAGGGTAAGAACTAAGAAATAAGGAAATCTGCACCACAAATCACTAGTTATGTAGAGCATTTCAGAGAATTTGAAATCAGAACGAAAATGCTTGTTCCACTCGTCCTAATAGATAATGGATTAAGCACACAAATCACTAGTTTTGTTGAATAAACATCTACATCAAAAGGTAAGATCTCCTCTAAATCTTTCTTCATTTTATATAGAAATATATATATGTATATATACGTATATATTTTCTATAATATTCACTGATTTTCCCCAAAATTCATGTCCAAATGAATAGGAAACTTTGATTTAATCACTGCTAAACTTGCCATCTCTCTCTGTGCAACTGTAAACTACAAAATCTACAAGAATCAAAAGTTCACAACCTATATATTTCAGATCTATCTGCAAGAATCAAAAGTTTAAAACCCATATCGACATATCATTTCAGATTGTTCAAAAAAATCAAAACCTATATCTTTCAATTTCAATTGTTGCTGTTCCAGTTCGGGTTCGCAAGCTTCAGCCGCTATCAATCAACTCATGGTCATCGGTTCTCATGGAACTGAACCGGTTCTACGGTTTGGTTCCGGTTCGGTTCTGGTTCCGTTTTTTAGGAACCGTTGTGAACGGTTCCGGTTCCGACCGGAACTGTGAGAATCAGAATCGTGTGCACTCCTTACTTTCTTCCATGATTGCATTAAAGATCACTGCAGACTTGCTTTGCAAGGTCAAGTTGATCCGAAGGTTTTGTCAGCTCTGCGATAACCAACAGGTAGTGACCGCCATCACTAAGAAGGAAAATGGAACCGGAAACCACTACATTTTCGTCTACTATAATGGGACGCTCCTTGAGACATGATCGGTTAATGCATTTCTACAAGGAAAATGGGTTCTATGTAGGGCACGGGATTGTTGGGACTCATATTTTAATTTGTAAGAGTAAAATTGCCCAATTATAAAATAATTTATTATAACGAAGACGTTTATGTAATAAATCACGAAATAAGCATTTGTCCGCATTTAAATTTTAAATTTGGTAAACATTTATCTTTTTCTTGACTTTGGAGACATTACAGCAATTTTGTTTAGATTTGATTATTAAAATCTAATTTTCCCTTTCTACTGCATTTTGAGTAGATGATATGTATTTATTTTTATAAATTATCGAATAAATTAATTAAAGTTTTTTGTTCAAAAAATTTATTAAAAGTCCCGAAGGAGAGAATTATTTTAAAAAATATTGTTGCCAAACACCTTAAAAAACACTTTAATTTTGAAAAATACTTTATAATATATCATCAAATATTCAATATGATTTTTTATTCACAACAATTTTTAATGAGTAATGTTATCAAGAAAACTCTCTAATAGTCATAAACTCTTCACATTTTTTTTTTTTGGACATATAAAAATCATTATATATATATATATATATTTAAATTTAATTAAAATTTAAATATATATTAAAAACCGAATTGAGATAATTTTTTTGACATATATAACAATAAACCATTAAATATATCTTTAATGGGAACACCAACCGGCAACCGGGCGGTGAGCCCATTCAAAAGTAGTATGCTAAAATGTCGGGGTACAATCGTCATTTAATAGATTTCAAGGTCAAAATCGGCAAAGCGAAATTAGTGGGAAACAGAAGAAAAAATCGAGGAACGACGTAACCAACACAAATGTTCTGACTACATGCGCTTGGGTGAACTCTCAGTACACTTACCTCTCAACTTAAAATCTCTCTCCCTCTCTCTCTCTCTAAATCTCAATCTCTCTCTAGAATCTCTTCACCTTCTCTCTAATTTATGCCGTTGACAGAGTCTGCTTTTTAGGGCTTTGTTCTCCTCTTGTTATTCGTGAAGTCTCAGGTAATGTGTGTTCTTTGAGCTGTTCCAGAGAGAGCTTGGTGTCAAGCTCTCCTTTTTACCTCTGATTTCTACACTCTCTGAGCTGATTTTGAAAAATTTCAAGTGCAAGTAAACGTTTTTAACTTAATTTCTCTACCAATCTTCGAAATGCTGTTTTATTTCTGCTTTTTTGTGATGTTTTCTTGTTGATTTGTGGATTTTAAGCTTGAACTCAGCTTAATTTTCTGTTGATTTACAGAATAGTCCAGCTCTGTTTTATAGCAGTAGCTTCTCTATAATTTAGGTAATATTTTCCCTAAAAATTAGTTTTTCTTACTTGCATATTTCTTTTTTGGCTTTTGATTGTTTGTATTTGAACTATTTTTACAAGAAGTTTTTATTCATGTGTGGCTCTAGGACTGAAAAAGCCCTTTTTTGTTTAAAAATGCTTATGAAATTTTTTAAATTTAATTTATGTGGATAATGTTTGCCAAAAAGATCTTTCTTTTACCCTGAATCAAAAGATCTTCACTTTATAGTGTTATTTTTTAGAAGGCTTCTCTAATTTTTTGCCCTGCAAATTTTAATTTTAATTTCTGGTTTATGTTTGCCAAAAAGATCTTTTTTCTACCCTGAATCAGAAAGATCTTCACTTTATTGTGTTATTTTTCAGAAGACTTCTCTAATGTTGACCTGAAATATGTAATTTAAGTTTCTGTGGTTTATTTTTTGTCAAAAAGATATATATTTTTATTTTTTTAACCCTGAATCAAAAAGATCTTCACTCTATTTTGTTGTTTCTTTCTAGGTTTCTCTAATTTTTTGCCTAGTTTATGTTTGCCAAAATGATATCTTTTTTTTTTTTTTTTTACCCTGAATCAAAAAGTTGTTCACTTTATTGTGTTATTTGTTAGAAGTCTTCTCTAATTTTTTGCCCCGGAAATTTTGATTTAAATTACTCTGGTTTATGTTTGCCAAAAACATTATCTTCTTTTTACTTTTTTTTTTTTTTTTTTTTTAATTTTTATTTTTATTGTGAATAAAAAAAGATCTGCACTTTATTGTGTTTTTTTAGAAGGCTTCTCTAATTTTTGCCCTGAAAATTTTCTTAGTGCATGTGCAAATAAAAAAGATCTTCACTTTCTTTGGCTATAATGCCCGGGATATTCATATTTCTCTGTTGCGTCCTATGATTCATTATTTTGTACTCTCTTTAGAGTAACTTTTGCCTGCTCCGAGTAGGTTTGTGCACTTTGCTGTTTTAATGGTGTTGTTATTTGCTGCTATGACTATTTTTTCCCCCTCATTGCCGTTCAAGCTTCAAATCACCATTATGCTTTCCTGATTTTCATTACCAATTGATGTTGTGTTATGGCTTCAGTGTGTGGCTTTTATTTGTCTTCACTTGTTGTATACGATTATTGTTGTGCTTGGTACCATTTACTAGATATATATTTTTTATTTCTATTAATTATTCAAATGCTGATTTTTTTGATATATTTAAATTATTTTTGGTTTTAGGATTAGGTAATGGATTCACTCGAACAAGATGGAAATAGAGAAGCAGATGCTTTGCCGCCTCCCCCACCTGTTCCAGAAAATGTTGTCCCAGTGCGAGCTGAACCAGAGCATGCTCCCGAACCAGTTAAGAAAAAGGTGCAGCGCATACCAATGGCAAGACGTGGCTTGGGATCTAAGGGACAAAAGATACCACTCCTAACTAATCACTTTAAAGTGAATGTAACAAATGTTGAGGGACACTTCTACCACTACAGTGTATGTTTGAATATCTATTTCTATATCGTCAAAATACACTGCTTTTTTTGGATTTTTGCAGAATGCAAGTTCAGCACTTATTTGTATCCATTTTCGTATTCTTATATTACTTTAATACAGGTTGCCCTTTCTTATGAAGATGGCCGTCCAGTTGATGGCAAGGGTATTGGGAGAAGAGTGATTGATAGGGTTCATGAGACTTACGACACAGAATTAGCGGGGAAAGACTTTGCTTATGATGGGGAGAAGAGCTTGTTCACAGTTGGTCCTCTACCTCGCAACAAACTTGAGTTTGATATTGTGCTTGAGGAAGTTACATCGAATAGGTGTGTGATGCATGTCTTGTGATTTGATTTGTGCTCTAGGCGTCATCTTGTTATTGGAATTTTGTTTTTATATGTTAACTATTTTCATTGTATTCAGAAATAATGGGAATTGTAGCCCTGCTGGTCATGGAAGTCCAAATGATAATGACCGGAAGAGATTAAGACGCCCTTACCAATCTAAAAGTTTTAAAGTGGAGATAAGTTTTGCTGCCAAGATTCCTATGCAAGCCATTGCGAATGCATTACGTGGTCAGGAATCGGAGAACTCTCAAGAAGCATTAAGAGTGTTGGATATTATTTTGAGGCAGCATGCATCGAAACAGTAAGTCATTATATTATTAGGTTATTATGGCCTGGTTTATCAGTCATCTAATTGAATTTCGTCCATTTCAGGGGTTGCCTCCTTGTTCGTCAGTCATTCTTCCATAATGATCCGAAGAATTTCGCAGATGTCGGAGGTGGTGTTCTCGGATGTAGAGGATTCCATTCAAGTTTTCGAACTAGCCAGGGTGGCTTATCTCTGAACATTGGTATATATATGAGAAGTAGCATTCCTGATTTTGTATTTTGTATTTTTTATTGCATTGCTGAATCTGCTGCTACCTACGCTTTCAGATGTTTCTACCACAATGATAATCCAGCCTGGGCCTGTGGTGGACTTCCTGATTGCCAACCAGAATGTGAAAGATCCCTTTACGATTGACTGGGCAAAGGTTATTAATGTTAATCTTAGTGTTACTACTGCACTACCAAATACTTCTAGAAATTGAAGCCTTTGTTGCTTGTCTGGATCAGGCCAAACGTACGCTAAAGAACTTGAGGGTGAAGACTAGTCCTGCCAATTCTGAATTTAAAATAAGTGGATTAAGTGATAAGCCTTGCAGGGAGCAGACGTAGGTTTTCCCTTCTATCATTCTTGTCCTTTGCCTACATTGGAAAAATGCTGATTCATTTTTTCTGATTATGCTGCTGTTTCCTAGCTATGGTTTTTTGTACCTGTTAAGCAGAGGAATCGACCAATAATTGAAATTAGAATGCCAAATGAATGTGTGTTTTGCCTGTTGCAGATTTTCACTGAAGCAAAAAGGCGTAAAGGATGAGAATGGCGAAGTTCAAATGATTGAAGTGACTGTTTATGATTATTTTGTTAATTATCGCCATATAGAGTTACGCTATTCTGCTGATCTACCATGCATTAATGTTGGGAAGCCAAAACGTCCAACTTACTTTCCTCTTGAGGTGAAACTGTCTTTTATAGTTCTGTTAAGTTAAATCTACTTATCATGTATTTTTTGATTTTGTGGTCTCTAAATCTGTCTGCACTTTTGTTTTCAGCTTTGTTCCTTGGTGTCCTTGCAACGTTATACGAAAGCACTGTCTACTTTTCAACGAGCTTCACTGGTGGAGAAGTCAAGACAAAAACCACAAGAGAGGATGAGAGTATTAAGTGATGTAGGTGTCTTCCTCGAATTTTTGATTGATATATTTTTTTGTGCAATATGTTAAAGCCTTTCTTTTGGCAGGCTCTGAAAATTAACAATTATGGTGCTGAGCCTATGCTACGTTCATGTGGCATTTCGATCAGCACTAACTTCACTCAGGTCGAAGGCCGTGTTCTCCCAGCCCCAAGGGTATTTATCCAACTCTGTTGTGGGAAATGGTCTATATATGATTGTTTAATAATTGAATTCTCGATTTATTTTGATGATTTTTCCAACTGTGAAGTGGTAAGTTCAGGTTTTAGACTGCATTTTTATTCTATTACAGTTGAAAGCGGGAAATGGAGAAGACTTTTTTCCTCGAAATGGACGGTGGAATTTTAACAATAAGGTTCTCTCTCTTTGTTTTTTCACCCCACCATGATTTTGATTTTGATTTTGATTTTGTGGTTCTTACAACATTTTTTTATGCTTGATTAGAAATTTGTGGATCCAACAAAGATAGAACGTTGGGCTGTTGTGAATTTTTCTGCTCGTTGTGATATACGTGGTCTTATCAGAGATTTGACTAGACTTGCAGAAACAAAAGGAATTGTATGTTCTGTAATTTTTGGTTCACTGAAATGTTATTTCTATAGAAGGTCAAGTGACTGACAAGCCCTTTTTCTCTTTTTTTGGTAGCAAATTGATGCTCCGTTTGATGTATTTGAAGAGAATCCACAATATAGAAGGGCCCCGCCCCTTGTTCGAGTGGAAAAGATGTTCGAAGATATACAATCTAAACTTCCTGGAGCTCCTCAGTTCCTTGTCTGTCTACTTCCTGAGAGGAAAAACTCGGATCTCTATGGTTTGTCTCATTTGATTTATTCTTCTATGCACAATGTTGGTTCCTTTGCTATGTGGTTAACAAATGAATTCATTTGACCCCTAAAGGTCCATGGAAACGAAAAAATCTTGCTGAATTTGGAATTGTTACTCAGTGCATGGCTCCTACAAGAGTCAACGATCAATATCTTACAAATGTTCTCCTTAAGATCAATGCAAAGGTAAGATGCTGCATTCAGGTGTTATCTTCAAAGTATTTCTTTCTTTTATGTTTTTATTTGTTATTATTATTATTATTTTCAATCTGATTTCCCCTCGGTTGATACATCCTTTCATCTTGTTACCTGTAGCTTGGTGGGTTGAATTCTCTGTTAGCTGTTGAACATTCACCTTCTATTCCTGTTGTATCCAAGTCTCCTACCATAATTCTTGGAATGGATGTTTCACATGGTTCTCCTGGCCACTCTGATATACCATCAATTGCTGCGGTAACATGCTCCCTTTTATTTCTTCTTCTCTATTTTACTCTCCGTTTTGACATTCTGCTACGCATCTTCAGTTCCCTAGAAGCAGTGGCCTACATTTATTTAAATATATTAAGACTTCTTGGTTGTTTTGAACCCAAAACAAAAGAAATAAAGAAATCAGATAGATCCTTTGAACTTTGTGTGTTTTGCTTATCCTCCTCTATAGGTTGTCAGTTCCAGGCACTGGCCGCTGATTTCCCGTTATAGGGCCTCAGTACGCACACAGTCTCCAAAGGTTGAAATGATAGATTCTCTATTTAAACCAGTTTCTGACAAAGATGATGATGGCATTATCAGGTGGATTGTCTTCTTTTTTTTTTTTAATTTATTTTTTTATTTTTATCAATTTTGTTGAACCATTGTGTGTGACTGCTTCCTATATTTGCAATTTCCATCAATTTGTTTGAATTAGAAATGAAGTTGATATCTGGAACGCCATGTTAGTTGCTTATGCGAGCGATTGATTTCTGGCTGTAATAATATCATAAAAAATCAGAATTCGGATGTTGAGATTTTTACCTTTATTTTCAGGGAGCTTTTGCTGGATTTCTATGTGAGTTCAGGGAAAAGAAAACCTGATCAAGTTATCATATTCAGGTAATTGGTTCTTTCCCAGTTGGTTGTAGGTAGGTAGCTTCAATGTATCAAGCTTAGGTTGTGATGTACTTGTTTTTGTTTCTAAGTTGTACTTTATTCATCTAGAATAATTTGTTTTGTTGGAGAAAATTAGGGAAACTGTTGGTTTCATTATATAATAAAATCAAATAAGCAATAAAAACTTGTAATTAAATCAGAGAACACAAGAAGACAAAGGAATTAATTTAAAGCAACTGATAAAGGAGACAAGGCATAAAAATTGTGGTATTGGTATGAAATTACTTTCCTTTGACCAAAGAAATCTTTAAGATATTGGCCAATTCTTGAAAAGCCATATTATTTGACTGAAGTTTACATGATGTCAATTCAATAACTGTCCCCTTTTCAGAAACACATTGGAATCTCCAATTGTTTGTCAAAGTAATTGAAGGATCGAGTACAATCAAGTTTTCAAAGGAAAGCAATGTAGAACCAGTGGGAAGTTTGATTGCATCCCTGATCCTGCCTTGTATTATGGGTTGACCAACACAATTTCACTCGTCACTCTACATGACTGATCATCCATGTGCCTAATCTATGCATCCTAACTAACTACTAAGAAGGGAATTCTTACATGGCTTGATTCTGCAGTAATTCATTAGATTATATTTGCTGCTCATGTAGTATAAAATAGTAGGGATAAACTTGTACTGAGTAATTCCTCTGCTCATCTTGCGAACACTAAACGCTGGGGCCACTGGGGGTAAAAATTCTACTGAGCAATTATTGATTCCAAGTGTGCTTCTCTGGCATGTGCAATGGTTTTAAATTGGCTACCCGAGCACATTTTACTTCATATCATCACATCGTCTTGTCTCAGATGCTAATTGGTTTATTTTATTAAATTTAGGTGCATGCTCTTCCAACATGTTTGTGTTGTTTTATGTTTCTTTCTCTTTGTAAGGCGCTTATTATTCTGGGCTTTTCATTTTCAAATATATGTATGTTGCTATGCTGCTAATTTTATCACTCGTTCATCAATGATGTTCTGTGTGTTGTTTGTTCTTTAAGGGATGGAGTAAGTGAATCACAGTTCAACCAAGTTTTGAATATTGAACTTGATCAGATTATTGAGGTTTTAGTTCTAATCAGAGCCTTTCTATAATGTGCTTGGAAGCTATTTCAATTTGAATTTCTGTATTAGGCAGTAAGAATAGCTTGTGGATGTAATTTCCTTTTAAATTTTTGCAGGCCTGCAAGATGCTCGATGAGAAATGGTCTCCCAAGTTTGTGGTGATAGTTGCACAGAAGAATCACCATACAAAGTTTTTCCAGCCAGGATCTCCTGATAATGTTCCACCAGGTCAGTCTTTTAAAAAATGCATAAAAAAATTTATTCATTGAAAATCTTAACATTCTTCTTCTTCTTCTTATTCTTTTTAATTTTCTTTTCAGGGACGATAATTGACAACAAAATTTGTCATCCACGAAACAATGATTTTTATTTGTGCGCCCATGCTGGAATGATTGTGAGTATAAATTTATAGCTGTCGCATATAATTCTTGTGGATAGTTGTTAATGTATATCTGTGCTCCGCGAAATAGTATGTTGATCTAAGACGTACTTATGTGTCTCAAATGTTATTACTCCTTCAATACATACGTAAAATTTTCAGATGTTACTTGTCTGATGGCTCTTGCACTGCAGATCAACTGGATACCTGAACCTGACCCCCTATTAACTTGTGTTGGTCGTGCCTACAACTTCTGCTAGAATTAATTATTATTTTTTGGTTATATTTAAGCAGCCAAAGTTCAGTTTGATGCATTTTTGTTCTTCTCATTTGGGAAAAAAGTAATTTTTTTTAGTCCAAAACTAATGTTGTGATGAATATCTAATCCAATTTATTTTTCCTCTTCTTCCTCCTTGGACTTGAGTAAGCAATTGATAGAGTTCTTATCCTTCTGATGTCAACTACCAGGTGTCCTAAACTAAAAATAGCAGGTCACCAACTCCAAATCAAAACAGAACACTTAGATTTTTAGAGATTGGGTCAATTGGGACTCTTTGGTTCAAATTTACTAAATCTGTGTATGGTCCACTCAACCATATTTTTATTAGCCTAATGCATGTGAAATAATACTCTATCCAAATTTTATTAACCTAATATGTGAAATAATAAGTTCTTGGTCTAACCATATACCGTACCTTACGATCGTCAAGCAATCTTCAAGTTTTCTTTGATTGTAGCCGTTTACAAATCTTCAAGTAGATTGGTTGGTAAAACACCAGCAGTGCCTTAACTTTGACCAAGTTTAAAGGAAAACAACATAACCAATTATAGATTGTTTTGACTCGGAATCTGTCAAGTATAGGGACTTCTAATGACACTCAATCCTAACAAGTTAGAGATTGCATGGTTGACAAAATCAACTGGAGACAACCAACCGTTCAACTGGAGAATTTTCTGTTTAGGAGAAAACAATTCATGGTTTTGGATACTATAAAATCATCATTTGGAGGTGTCCCTTCGCAAGGTGGGAGAATACCATGTGGGTTGCCAAGATGATGGCATGACAATTTGGAGATGTAACATGCGGGTTGCCATATGGTACACATGGCGAGGTGGGTCAGATAGTGAATGGGTGCACCCAGTATTATGAAAGGCGTGCCTAGGCACAAGTCTAGCGACTATTGTGGTTCTGCGATGTTTATTAGGCTCGCTTGGTTGTGCGTCGTTAGGCGCGCCTTAGTCTTTCTTTTATTTATTTATTTAAATGATTATTATATTTTCTTAAGCGAAAAAGGTAAGTTTTGGCTATTTCTTGAACTTTGATCAAAAGAATAAACAAAAAGGAAAGGAAAGCAAAGAGTCAAAGTCGTCCAAAAAGAGAAAGAATAGAAAGAGAAAGAGAGCTTTTGAGAGGAAAGCCATAGAGTCGCACAAAAAGAAAAAGAGAACTTTTGAGACGAACGTGAACTTGCAGACGACGATGAAGCCCTACAAGACCAACACTACTACCTACAGAAGAAGCAAGGTGAGTTCTTTCTTCTTCTTCTCTCCCCTCGTCTCTCTCTTTGTTCGTCTACTTCTCTCTTTTCTCTCTCTTCGTCTGGTTCTTCTCTCTGTCTATTTCTTTTTTCTTGATAACTAGCCTGCAGCCCCACCCTCCTGCCTGATAGAAGCATCTGGAACATATGCTATTAAGGAGAACATGATAACTTTTAGTGGAGAGTCGTCAAATTAGTGCTTGAACAAATGTGTATTGAAGATGTGACTATCTTAGAAAGTAGAAGAAATAACTTTCCATTGGCACTAAGCTCTAGATGAGGAATGCCACACGGTTGCTTTGGTGATGACAATGTAATTGGAGATGTTCCTTGCAGGTCAACAACTGGTTGCTGTGTTACATGAATTCTCCTATTCTCGTGCATTAGTCTGGCTAATAAGTAGTTCGCTAATGGATTTTTTCATATTTTTTTATCTATAGAGATCTTGAAATGTCAACGTAGTTGAGAGTTTATGCCGGTATATTTTATTTTATGTACTTGACATGCAACATGGTTAGATGATTCCTATAAGTTTCTGGTTTACTCTGTATATGTGTCGAATGAAACTTGCTTCATGTTCTTTAAAGACGGAAATATATGTTTTGTTGGTCTGATATCAGCCATGTTGGCTTTTTAGGGAACCACAAGACCTACACATTACCATGTTCTGTTTGATGAGATTGGGTTTTCTGCTGATGATCTTCAGGAACTTGTACATTCTCTGTCGTATGTGTAAGTAGCAAGATCTAGATGAGAATTGTTACTTCATTTCATACTTTTGGAGCAGTGAACTGCTATTATCCTCCTGAACTTTTGTTAATTCTTGGCAGCTACCAGCGAAGCACCACTGCCATTTCTGTAGGTAAGTTTGACATCTTCAGAATACAAATTTAACATAGTTTTCAACCCCAAAGAGCAGGCAATGCTAGTATTTTGTACATTGCCTGTAATATCCTAGTCAAGTTATTAGGGTCTTATGGCATTCTCCTGGAAGAGTATCTCTCTCGTGTGCACAATAGCTGATGTAGTAGAATTCTAATGGTAGTTATGTCGTGATAAAAGTATGCAGTTGCATAACCTTGCGCGTAATTTTGCAACAATGGTAAATAAAATGGAGCTGTTCCTCAACATTATTTTTTTTCCATTAATAATGTACATATTTGATCTCATCTCTCTCTCTCGTTCTTGCAGTTGCTCCAATATGCTACGCTCATTTGGCAGCCACTCAAGTGGGGACGTTCATGAAGTTTGAAGACACATCCGAGACATCCTCAAGCCAGGGTGGGCTTACAGCTCCTGGGGCTGTTCCCGTTCCTCAGTTGCCCAGATTGCAGGAGAATGTATGCAATTCGATGTTCTTTTGTTGAAGCTATAAGCTTCTTATTATCTGCTTATGTAGGATGACAACTTGGATACTGGTCTGTATATAGTATCTGGCTTTTGGTGTGATCTTCCACAGCGGAGACTGTCATACCATTCAGCTAGTTGAATCATGACGTTAGGGTTTTAGATTCGGTGCCTCCTCGTGTGTGAAGTTTGGTCCCAACATTGCCATTCCTATGATTTGCACCTACCTAGATGTTTCCTGTTATGTATCATTAGCTGGATGTAGATTGTGAATGGCTAAAAAGTTTGCTGATGTCTTTAATGGTCTGCTTGAAATGGATGTGTGGAGTAGCAATCAAAGACTTGGTTCTATGTTGGGTGTCTTGTACCTTTGAAGAATGTGGAAAATGTTTTAAATTAAGCGCGCTTTAATAAGTCATGTGGTTTTGGCCCTTTTGGGCGTGTGATCAGTTACTTTGACAATGACTCGGTTAGTGAGTTCGTTCTCGTCAAAGTTAGAATTGTGGCTGACAATGGTAGATGAAGTGTTCGATTAAATTCCCAACTAAGTTTCATATTCTCTCTTCTAAATCTCGAATCATGCATATATTTCCAATTTTCCAGGTTGGTATCATCAACTAGAAAGTTTTTCGAGTTCTTCCACGTTCTGTAAATGGGGCATGATTTGGGGCGAGCAATTTAAAAGGCTCTACTAGATTTCCTCGCTTTCTATAGTTTAAAATTAGGTATTTTAAATGGTTTTACGTAAGAGGCTAGATAACAGAGGTGAATTTGAATTAACTGTCTTCCGGTTAGTTGAATTCCAAAGATCGGTGTAATTTAGACTATTTTTTTATCACAGTGTAACTAATATAAACATCAAGGAGTGTGAGTGAAATTTATTTTAAAATTATTTTTGTAATTTATTCTAAAATTATTTTTGGAAACGTGGATTTTTTCGCATAATTTTCCTTTTCAAGTATTTCCTAGAGCATGTGATCATTTTTGTTGGAATTATATCAAATATAAGTCAAGGTGATATGTTTGAGTTGAAGTAGTATTTGGAAGTTAAAAGTATAGTGTTTTTGTAAAATTATATAATGAGGTTTATTAGTGAAAAAATAATAATAAGGGCAAATTACACTGGCCTCCTTTGAAGTTCAGTCAAGTTACACTTACCTCCCCTCTTGCTTGACAAATTACATTAACATCCCTTCAAGTTTAAATCTTTATAACAGAGACTATCCTTCCATTAACTGCCGTTAAAGATCCGATCAATGTTGATAATTGCTGATGTAAGTTTAAAGTTATTAAAGTGCCCTTTTAGTTATTATGTAGACAAATTTGATCTTACTTATTGAAGTAAAATTATTTAAAAACCCTCCATGGTAGCCATTACATTACCTTCTTCTTTAAAGCCTTTTGGCTCTCTGCAATTTACGTGAATCCATTGGAACCACTGGTACAAGATCTCTCCACTTAACCTTTCAAAAAAAAAAAAAAAAAAAGCCTCTCCCCGCTAATTGCCTTTTTTTTGCTTCCTCTTTTAAACTCACCATTGAGTTACTTCATTCTTCATGTATTCCTTATTATGTAGAATTGAGAACAAGAATCATCCAATATCAACGCCATGGGAAAATAAATTTTCTAGCTGTCTTGGTTTTGGACTTCGTTAGTAACCAAATGCGATCAGATTAATGGAAGGTGGTGATGATCTACTACAACCAAACCTCCCATAATCCAATTGATTATTTGGTGTATTTGAGTGTCAGCACCTGAAGATACAGGAAATTCCTTCTCCCACTCTCTCTCTAGAATTCCTATATCTCAACCCAAAAAAGATCCCTCTTTCTTTACCTTACTCCTCCTATTTATAGAGATTTATAAATGTCGATGGACTGCTGGATCTAGGCCCGTTCCTCCATGAGTCCCGGTCCTCTTTGATGGGCCTATGCGCGTTCGGCCCATATGGTAGTGCCTTTTTATGGGCCTGACCCACCTGTACAGACTCAATGCCGCGTTTGCAAGTCATATCCGGCCCATGTCCTATCGGGCCTCCTCAACTGCCCCCATAATTACCCCTTGTTTAATAAGGGGGTAATTATTGAAGGCGTCCCATCATGACGTTGACGGCTCGAGAAGCCCACATGGGGAAACGGACGGTCAGATCCAGAATCAATGTTCCGGGGCTCGATGAAGTTCTCACCTTCCTTACGCTTCGGCCCTCGGGTCCCCCTCGCCTTTATAAGGCTCTAGAATGCCACTTCATGCATTTTTACCGTCTCCATCGTCAGTCAAATCTCTCTCTTTTTAGAACAGCGCTAAGCTTTTTCCAGTGAAATCCTTCAAGAGTCGTTCTTCCAGCGGTTTTGTAGTGCTCTTTGTTGCTTTCTACCTCAGAGGTTAGTTTTGTTCCTTTTTACTTTCGGCAGGCTTCTTTTTACCCCTTTTAGATCCTTCAAACACTTCCACCATGGTTGTAGATCTAGATGTTCTTCGTATGAGACTTAGACTTCCTGACAACATCGAAGTTAGGGTTTGCCCTAAGGATGTTAATATTATGACCGGTGCCGGCCTCCTGCCCGGCGAAGTTTTATTCACGAACCTTCAATTGAATGTCGTTAGGTTCCCTCTGCACCCCTTCTTTAGTTATGTCTTCAATAGACTGGGGATATCCCCCCTGCAGGTAAACCCCAATTTCTTTAGAATCATATCCGTTATGCTTCTGTTGATTCGTGACAGAAATCTGGACCTTGACCTCATAGATCTTCTTCTGTGTTATAAGGTCAGTAAGATCCGAACTAACGAGCCCTTCTACCACCTCTACCCGTTCGAGAAGATGTCCATATGTACGGACACAATAAAATCTGAAAAGGGTTAGAGGGATAACATCGTGGGCATTAGTGGGGCTTGGTCTTCGCCGGCTGCAGAGGGTTACCCAATCCCGAGCGCCTTTGGCGTCTGTTCTGTTTCCTCATATAAGAAATTCAAATCTCACAAACATGATTACCCCTGCGAAACATGCGTTCCCCGCTTTTGTACTTTCTTATGTCGTTCCTTAGGAATACCTTGTGATGACTTGAGCTACAGTGTTTGCAGGGATAGGAGTAATTACTTGAAGAAATACGTTCTGAACGATATTCCTTCCTGCTCAGACCTCCTCACTTCAGACAACCTCCTAGCGCTCTCATCCCTCGGCTACAACATGAGCAGGCTTCAGATTCCTTCTTTTGGCAGGAAGAAAAATACTCCCCCAGCCACTCCTGCTGCTGGGGCAACCTCCTTTCCAGCATCAGCCTCTTCCTCAGCCACCATCTCTGACACTATCCCGAGCACGGTGGCTATTGACTCTGTTGTCAGCACCCCTGCTGCCAACCCGAGCGCGTCCCCCCAAATTACCACAGCCCCTGCTGCCGCGGGGGGCGCTCGGGACAAAGAACGAGGCAAAAGGCCTCATCCTGACAGTGGAGTCGATCCTGAGGAGGAACCTCTCATAAGAAGGACCCGGGTCTCCGGGCCGGGTGCTTTCTTGCATCGCCCGGTCAGAGTTCCTGCCCCCTCCGGGCCTATTGCAGCTGGTGCCTCTGCTTCTGCTTCAGGCTCCCCTTCTCTCCCCACCTTACCACCATGCGCCCCTCGGTACACCCGAACGGATGGGACGTTCGTGAAACCGAACGAGACCATGCTGAAGGATGGCCAGACCGCCATGGCGTACTATAGGAGCATGTGGACTCCGAAAGACCTTGAGGCGGCGAAAGGCCTATCCTAGAAGGATGTGTTTAGCCGCTTTCCCCAATCTGCCATGGAGGTGACTTTTATTTTCCAACTCATGAATTCTCTCATATTATTTGGTCTTGCCTTCGCCCGACCTGACTATTGGCTTAACCGTTATTAATGTACATCTATGCAGACATTGTTCGGAATGATGGCTATGCAGAAGCAGGTAGAGATGGGGTGGCTAATAAAGAAAACAACCTTCTCGCCAGCAAGAATACCGAGGTACTGGCTCGGCTTGAAAAAACTGAACAAGAGAGAGATGTCCTGAAGAAGGAGAACGACTCTCTTCAGGATGAGAAGGATGCCCTCCAGCTTGAAAAGAGCGTCTGGCAGACTGAGCGTGATTCAATCAGAGACGAAAAGGCAGAGCTCCAGCGCCTTCTGGCTGATGAACAGTCTGCTCGGATGGCTTTTGAGAAGAGAGCTCTGGACGAGCGTACCACTCTGATTGATGCAATCAGCAGAGTGAACGGTGGGATGCTGGTTCTTCATGCTCGGTTCTCAAGGGTCGGTGCTCTTAGATATGCTCAAGGATTCCGAGAAGGTTTCTCCGACCGAGTTCCGGATGAGGGACAGACCAGCTCCACTCCAGATGAGGTCGACAAGGATTTAGGGATCGACCCTCTGGGGGTCTATGTTGACCCAGAACCCACCGAAGCGGAGCGCATATTTGATGAGTGCCAGGACATTGCTTCCTCAAGGATCATTACAGCTCCTCCTACCGCTCTGCCTCTGACCGCTCCTCAATCGTCAACTGTGGTACCTCCCATAGCCACTGCTGACGTTGACCCCCAGCAGAAAGATTCTGTCATTCATCTTGATTCCCCACCTCGTGAGGGTGAGACGGCTGATGGGACCGAGGAGGCGGGTCGGCACAACCAGGATGCTGTCGGTACTAAGGCAGCTAGCTAGGACTCCTCCGGACTCTTCGATTCCATACCTTTTTGTAACAATGTGACTTGAATATCTCATTTTTTGTAAACTCAATGCTTATTATGAATGAAATGACAGAACTCTTTTTCCCTTTTTCCTTTGTGTTGTGCTCTGTTCAACCTATTTTCAATACATATATACCTTTTCTCTCTTTTCTTTTATATTAACTTTGTCGTGTGCTTGTTTATGGCAAGTGCTTGGCATTCGGCTTATGGTGCCAGCTGCCACTTGTCTTGCTTAAGTGCCTGGCGCTCGGCTAGAATGCCACTTGCCACTTGGCTTTAAATTTTTAGCAAGTGTCTGGCGTTCGGCTTGTGGTGCCAGCTGCCACTTATCTTGCTTAAGTGCCTGGCGCTCGGCTAGAATGCCACTTGCCACTTGGCTTTAAATTTTTAGCAAGTGTCTGGCGTTCGGCTTATGGTGCCAGCTGCCACTTATCTTGCTTAAGTGCCTGGCGTTCGGCTAGAATGCCACTTGCCACTTGGCTTTAAATTTTTAGCAAGTGTCTGACGTTCGGCTTATGGTGCTAGCTGCCACTTATCTTGCTTAAGTGCCTGGCGTTCGGCTAGAATGCCACTTGCCACTTGGCTTTAAATTTTTAGCAAGTGTCTGGCGTTCGGCTTGTGGTGCCAGCTGCCACTTATCTTGCTTAAGTGCCTGGCGCTCGGCTAGAATGCCACTTGCCACTTGGCTTTAAATTTTTAGCAAGTG